GGTATATAAAAGAGGGTGACAACGTGAAATAATGTGTGTGTGTAGACAGTGAGTAATTCATCTGCAGTCAGAGGGTATTATTGAGCACGTTCGTTGTTATAGCGTTTGTTTTAGTGCGATTGTTGAAATTAAGTGTATCGTAAATTTATATTCGGAAAGAATAAACCAGTTTTATTAAGTAAGAACTTTTGTCGCTAAAGTTTCGTCGGAACGAAGTTACGGAAAGTTAATTAACAAACGGACACGTAACAGTAGTATCGATTATCCAAATGACACAGTTTGGTCACCTGAAGTTGTGAGACAGCTGAAAACCTTCCTGAAATTTCACTAACTTTATTCAGGACTGGTAAGGTATATTTGGTTCTCACTGTGGTTCACCAGGACTAGGAATGTGTACCTGGTTCCACTATAACTCTTCAGAACTTAAGGTATACCTTGACCTTGCTAAGGCTCCTCAGCACTGGTAAGGTACATATTGACCTCGTTAAGGTTCTTAGGACTGGTGAGATACACCTGATTCTCACTATAATTATTCACGACTGGTAAGATATACCTTGATCCTAAAGTTTCTCAGGACTGGTATAGTGCACCTGGTTCTAACTATGGCTCCCCTGGACTGATATAGTATACTTGTTTCTCGCTTTGGCTCCCTTGGACTGGTAAGGTATACCTAGTTCTCGCTTTGGTTCCTCTGGACTGGTATACTATACCTAGTTCTCACTTTGGTTCTTCATAACTGATAAGGTATACCTAGTTCCCACTTTGGTTTCCCTGGACTGGTATAGTATACCTAGTTCCCACTTTGGTTCCTCTGGACTGGTATAGTATACCTAGTTTCCACTTTGGTTTCCCTGGACTGGTACAGTATACCTAGTTTCCACTTTGGTTTCCCTGGACTGGTATAGTATACCTAGTTCCCACTTTGGTTTCCCTGGACTGGTATAGTATACCTAGTTCCCACTTTGGTTTCCCTGGACTGGTATAGAACTAGGTATACTATACCAGTCCAGGGAAACCAAAGTGGGAACTAGGTATACTCACTTTGGTTTCCCTGGACTGGTATAGTATACCTAGTTCTCACTTTGGTTTCCCTGGACTGGTATAGTATACCTAGTTCCCACTTTAGTTCATCAGAACTGATAAAGTACATCTTAAACACTTTAAAGTTTTTCAGAACTGGTAGGGTACATCTTAAACACCCTAAAGTTCCTCAGCAATTTTAAGGTACACCTTTACCACGCTAAACTTCCTCAGGACTGGTATAGTATACATGGTTCTCTCTTTGATTCCTCAGGACTGGTAAGTTATACCTGATTCTAATTATGGTTCAACAAGTCTGATAAATTATACCTGGTTCTAACTATGGTTCCTCAGGACTGGTAAGTTATACTTGATTCTAATTATAATTCAATAAGTCTGATAAAGTATACCTGGTTCTAACTAGGTTCATCAGGACTGGTATAATATACATGGTTCTCTCTTTGGTTCCTCAGGACTGATAAGTTATACCTGGTTCAACAAGTATGGTAAAGTATACCTGGTTCTAACTATGGTTCCTCAGGACTGGTAAAGTATATCTTAACCTCGCTAAGGTCCCTCTGGACAATTAAAGTGTGTAGAATATCCCTGGTCTTGTCCTACTTTAGCGGTCTGTTATATATTTTGTCTTAAGTTAATGGGTGAAAAGTTAGTTTTCACAGGTGCTTTTGTCATACCAGCCTTGTCACCTAGCAACAAGATCATATTGATCCTCATAAAGCTGTTTTTAATTTTTCTTTTTACCCTATATTTCACATATCTCAATTGTGACTATGGTTAACAGTAAAAGGACCCCAAGACGATATACAGATTTTAAGTCACATTTATTGGTTATCTTCAACTACGCTCACTTCCTAAAACTTTTTATAGGGAAAGAAGATTTGATTATTTTGTTTTTAGTGTTTCCAAAAATTATGTGGTTTTCCTCTAAACTGCAAACAAAAATTCACTGATATTCTTTGTAAATCGTTTGATTTTCGTCTCGCTTTGATCACGCCACTTCCCATTTTGCCGAGTGGTCCAAAGATTTTGTTTACTGCTCTTAATTAGAAATAATCTACTTTTCCAGTTCATGTGCCTAGTTATATAACTATTTGTTGTTTTTTGGTTTGGTGTGTTTTGAATTTCGCGCAAAGCTACACGAGAGCTATCTGCGCTAGCTGTCTAATTTAGGAGTGTAAGACTAGAGGGGAGGCAGTTAGTT